CAATTACTATCGTATCCGGCTTTTCGCTAACTCAACAATGTTTATAACCGGCATAGAAGCGAGATTGCCGTCTCGGAGGTCAGCCGAGATAATGAGACCGAGGGTAGTAATTCCAGGGAAATAATTTCCCGGCGGACGCGGACGTGGCTGATTTATAAACAGGATCCTGGATTACCGATCGCGAACGAATAGATCTCGGCGTATCGTCGACGGTAAGCCAGGGATAAGAGAACGCGATTGAAGATGAACGCCGACGACGTGGTGGATCGCGCGGCGAAAGGCAACGAACCCCGGGACCTGGGATCTACGCCAGATTCCAGATCACGCGCCGATTATGCCCCCGATTTCAGATTTACGACTGCCGAGCATACCCGTCCCGGTCCGCGGCGGCATTTATTTATAGTCACAGGGGATCACTTGTTGCCGCGTTCTACGGACGATCTACCACCCATTTTCTCTTCCTCCGATGCTCGCAGCACTCGCCCGGTTCTCTATTTCTTTCCACGCGTGAATGCACCTTTTAACGCTGCGTTTGCGAGCAACGACCACCCATATAATGGATAGACGCACGCGGATGTACACTCGCTAAAGTTTATCGTTTGGAGTTAGACTTTTATGGGCATCTTTAATTATGAGTAAAATCCACTTCAGTATGTGTTAGACTGACGATGATTTATTTTATCATTTTGTGAATCTACTAAACAATGTATGTAGTTGTTTGCATAAACATAAAAAATTAAACGATCGACATCGTCTGTGCACTGTATTTATGTTTTTATGTAATATTGTTTTGTAATAGGCTAATTGTAAAGTCACTTGAAACTGCTCAGTCATTCTGGGTACATTATGTATGCGCAAAAACTCTTCAAGATTCTCTAGAACACTATGATACTCAAGAACTAGCACTTTAATATAGTTACACAGTTCATCAATAATTCGCAATTGCAGGCGTATTGCTGTTGGCACTGGCTAATTTATTTGTTATGAAAATAAGCGTTTAATTTATTTGTTATGATAAGAAACTTCAGCGAATATCCAATGTTAGAATATTTACACAGACGACATGCTGAAGATATCTATCATCGATTTTTCATGAACATAATAACAGAATTAGCTCGGGGACAGTCTGAAACAAAATGAACCAGCAAGTGTCGGATGGGAATAAGTGAAAATAAAAAAATTACTTAAATAAAAAATAATTTTTTCATTTGTTCAATCTAAGTAAAAAAAAAGGATATTATATAAAAATCAATAGCAATTGGAAAGTTGTAACAGAAATTCTAAAAAGAAAAACAGCTGTCATATTCTGTCCTTGTACAATAAATATTCCAGTTCGTATGATTGCCCACTTTTCACTTTCAATGTACGTATGTACTGCGAATTGAAATTCGAGCGTGTAAAAATAAAATTCACGTATCATTTCGTAAATCATCGTACGAAGTACAAGCTACAAGGCCGGTCAAGTACCATAACGATTGATTCGTGACGATTTCTAAATTGAAGGTCTCTTCGGTGTTAGAGTTTACTGGGTCATTAAAGAACGTCATGATCTTGAAAATAACATGAGTCCATTAAGAAACTCAGAATAGTGTTGTCTCTTTACTAAAAGCAAATGTGATTTATAGTTTTCGAATTAAAATATCTTTTCACCTCGTTGACACTTCTCACTATTGTTCCCTAATTTGATGTACAAAAAGCAAATTAAGGTAAGGACAGACGAAAGCTATTTTCTCTTATATCATCGATATCGCTTGGGAAGAATCATGGACTCTGATTACCAGTATATCTATACGAAAACGAAAGAGGGGAGAGACTTTTCCAATTTGTTCGGCACAGCACGTGGGACACGCAATTAGCCGGTTCGATCGAAGCGAACAGCTCCTCGTGTGGCACGGCGGTCCATCGCGGATCGATGCAATTAGCAGCATCGAATCGCGCAAGATTTACAAAGTCCGGTTTTCGCCGGCTCCGCGCGGCGGCGGCGGTTTTTAAAGTTCGCTCAATCGGCGATTGAAAAAAAAAAAAAAAAAGAAAATGCCGTCGCTCGAATCCCGGGGCTAATTGGATGATTGGTTCACGCTTTATGCGATCGATTAATTTATCACAACGCCGTTTTAACGAAAGAAGACGCGATCCGATCGGTACTGTATCCTACTACTTTACTTAATTGGCAATAAACACCGGCGAACGTAATTATCGCGGTGTCACGTCATAAAACGGCGTAATAAAGTGCGACGCATTAATAATTAACCACGGTGCGGCTTAAAATCAATGGTGCAGACTCGCTTCGTGACCTACGATCGTTTCCAACTTCTATCGCGTATTGCATTTCAGAGTAAATGATTATAATGTAAAGCACCGTGCAACACGCTTTGTGCCAGAAAGTATGCATTGAAATTAAAGCGAGGGTCGCTTAATGTACTTCCAATTTATATGCAACGTTCTTTACGCGCTCTATATAACAGGAGTCAATTAAAGAGCTCAGCTTGTTGCTTCTTCATGATCATTGAATTATTTATTTTTTACATGTACTTCTAATAAACCATTTTCTTAATGCAACCTGTAACCGTTTCAATGATTTGATAATATTTTCACGTATTTCAAGTACCTTATTTCATGACATTATACAGCAAACATTTGATTAATAATTAGCAATACTTAATAATTAACTAATTGATTGAACAAGATTAATTTTACTAACATTCTAAGTATTATTTTTCTGAATTTACTAGAATGGTTAGTTGAAATTCATCGTGAAATGCCCCAATGTTAAGCCTCGCTACACGCGTTTGTCAATTTTACTTTCAAGTCGTAAAAGCACGGTTTACTGCGAAACGAATCGTCATCCAGCATCCCTATTAAATTTCTCTTTAATTTTCAGGGAACGAATCGATGGTCAAGCCGGATGGAGATGCAAATGATTATAATTACAGGAACGGGACGCCGGATCCGTTAACTTCAATTTCATTCGCAAAGGTTTTTTCTTGTTCACGTGACGGCCGTGGCGTGTAAAGGCCAAATGCAAAAACGCGGCGCATCTTCATGAAATGTAGTAACCTTTCATCCTTCTTGCCGATTAGATTAAAAAGTGAAAGAAAGTCGGAGGTCTAAGGTTGAAACTAGCCGCGTGTAAATAAACATAAGTCGGATATCGCACGTGCGTGCCTAATGTGACATAATCAGTACACGCTTTTTTTATTTACAATTGGGACACGATGATACTTTACTCTTTTATTTAAAATATGTAACAAGGAGGTATATAGCGAGAATCAGTCATGAATAAATATTTTGTTTCTTGAAAGACGAGAATAATTAAAGAAATACGTGATCGAATGTGATTTTTAAGATAAATAGCTGCGTAGACGAACTATTTTTTCATTTTTAATTTTATTTTATTGCTTAAATACACGCGTAAGAATTATTGATTTGTAAGATGCCCAAATGAGATTTCAATGTATACAGATCAAATCTGAACATTCAGATAAAAATATATTAGTTTCGATATCTTAACACGTGGATTAGTCGTCGAATTTTGACAAGGCCTCAGATATCACGCTTTGCGACGTAGTAATACGTGCAACGTCGAGGTTCATGCCCGTTGACAGCGCAGATGTACCGCCAGAATTAATTTTAACCGTAAGCTTGCATTAAATCCAAAGGAACTGACAAACGTGTCGGCGCTCACGTTGTCCCGTTACGAGCACTACCTGCTTAACCCATTTGTCTAGCTCAGCTGCAAAGAGCGGCCACAGCAGCCAGTGAGATGGAAGAGCGGTCGAACGCGGTGGAGAGGGACGGATCCACAGTTAGGAACGACCGAAAGGTGCTCACGATCACGTAGCACATGAAATTGCAACCGCTTAAAGGTTCGTTGCGTCACTTTCCGATGCATTTCTGTGACCACGTGCTTGGTATTCCTGAATATGACTCAACCGACCCAGCGGCGCGGGTTTTCCGGGAAGCGGGCGTGCGTACGCCGTCTATGAAACAACCGATTCTGATAGCGTATGAGCCTTCCACGTAACGCTATCGACCGAATTATTCGATAAAAAAAAGTGCGATGTCTACGCTCGATCGGTCGATAAGTGTTGGACAAAGTTTAATTTCCCAAACGAGTTTGTTATGAGGTTGCTGTAATTTTTTACAATCGCAAGTACTTAGAATACTTACTGGTCTGATGTAATCTGTTAGTCTAACGATACAGAAATTCCGGATTAATTAACTGCGAACTGGAACCCTTTGGAATAGCTAGCATTCTTCGTATCAGCTAGTGTCGGAGACTTAACAAGCTTCTTTCACGTTGTGTGTAATATAAAAGGAAAAGCTATTTTTAAAGTTCATTAGAAATATAACTGAGCCACCTAACTCTTCTAAACCATCGGTTCTCACGGTCACACAACTTGTAGACCTTCTCTTATATATAGTCTTTGATATAAAAAGATCGAATTCCTCTTGTTTAACATAAAACTACTTTATCTTATTAAAGGTAGAAGATTCTAACGTTTTCTAAAGTGCATTACAATCTGAACTTCGAGAATTAGTAGGTTAACCAGTACAGTTCCATTAGAAAATTTTTAACGCTGCAACATCAACGATTAAAGTACTTCCATCACAAAAAATTCATACTACAGAAAGAGCAGCTGGTTATTTTAAGTATGAAACATTTGTTCGAAAAAAATAAACGAACGGCTGTTCCCATCCAGCATTAGGAGACATTTCATTGACCCCATGCGTAAGTATTTTTAGCCCCCATGAGGCAAAATACATCCTGCAGGCTGATTTTTATTAGCAGAGGGGATCGAGAGGAAAGCCGACTGTTCGGATCGATGAACGGCGGGTTCATCGCGGAAGGGAAACGTGCGTTGCGTCATGTTACGCGTGCGCAACCTCGCTTTCATTTCCGAATAATTCGTTGGCGATCTACGCGATAGCGAAATTACCGCCGTGTACAAAAGAACGAGCACGCGACACGCGAACGATTAACGCGTGACCGAGGGCCACGTTTATTGTGAAAAACTTGTCTGAAAAACGGACGCGAATTTTTATCACCCGGTCTGGGAGATACTCCGACTGCGTTCGCGATTTCGTCAGCCCCGAGCACGCCGAGCCTGAGGAGGTTGGTGCAGCTTATGGGAGGTATAAAAAGTGGGGACAAGGTCACCTTACTGGACAGAAGTCTTCGAGCTGTCAGACTAGTCAGACGTGCACCTACGGAACCGTTTGGTAAACCGACTGAGTACAAAAGCTTTAGTGTGGCTTCGTTTTCTTTCCTTTTCTTCTTACGCTTTTCTGTTTTCCTTTCTCAAAGCAACCATGGTGAGGTTAGTGAAAATTTTTATTTTTACCGCTTATACGCGCGGCGGATTCGTAAACGAGAGTTGTGCCGGTACCGTTTAAACCCGAACAATGTCGTTCTCATAGGAGAAAAGAGGTCAAGCGAGCAATAAACTCTCAAGTACAATAATTGGTGCTGTTTAATAGATCTTATTGTCACTCGTCTCGCCCTGTATTCTATTTGGTGATGGCATTTTCCAGATCTATCTCTATAAATCACTTTTAATTTAACGGTAACAGTGGTTCAACGGTTTTTAATATCGAATATTAACGCGTGTATCTAATGAGAATTGATTTTATTTGATAGAATGAGTTTTTATTATTATAATTCAGTATCAACATGTTTTATTATTCGATACTTGGAAATCGTCGAAATCGCTTGTGAATTTTGAACGCTTGCAATTTAACGAACGCACTTTTGTAGTTTAATGTAAACACCGGTATGCACACGTGTTTGACGTACCGCTAGTGGCATCTTGCGAGCTTGCGCATTATCCGTGTTCTTATCAAAATTTCATTCATTTGTAATCAATTTATAGTAAATATGTAATTATATGAATGTAGATNATGATACAGGAATGATTATAGGAAGGGATGATACATTTTCGGAAAACGAAACAGAACTATATCTTACATATACAGAACTATATTTTGCAGATGCCAGACAAGTGTTAGATCCCTAATTCTAATAGCAATTATGCAACGTTAAATGTAAGATATAGTTCTGTTTCGTTTTCCGAAAATGTATCATCCCTTCCTGTAATCATTCCTGTATCATTCATCATTTCATATTTAACAGATATGTCTAATATTATTTAATATTAATCCCTTTATAAAAGTCCTTCGTCCACAAGTGATTATATCTAGTCGGTAATCAGGTACTGCAAACAGTCAATTAGAAGTTATATTTACGTAAAACAGCGTAAAAAATAATATATCACGTTACTTCCTACATAAATTAAGAGACAATAAATACTATGTGTGCGTACATGACAAGCTATATAAGCAATAAGTGTCCGACAGTACTTCTATCGTACTGTCGGACTGATCGGCCTGATGGGATTTCTACTCTGTTATATATTTTATATCTATTTTGCTGTTGAAATGAAACTGACAACAATTTTATTACCGAGAAATCATGAAATTATTACATCGTAAGTAGATTTTCATGATCTCTATGACGTTGAGAAATGCTTCTGTTAAAAACTACTTGAAAATGAAAATTATAAAATAAACGCGATTCAATGTGCTATTTTAAAATATTGTTTGCAATTAATATATTTTTTTACAATTGATTGAGTGACCTTTTTGACCTTTGGCGATCTAACTGTGTTTATTAAAAAAATCGTAAAACATTATTTATTAAAAAAGTAATGTAAAGTGAACGAAATTATTTGACTCGTTACAGGAGAATGGCATCGTTGAAAAACAAGTTGATGAACACGGTCATCGAGCCGATGTCTCACGGTAGGAGCAAAGTCACCGTAGTCGGCGTAGGCCAAGTTGGAATGGCCTGTGCGTTCAGTCTTTTAGCAAATGTAAGATCCATTTTCTATATCAATTTTATTTCTAAAGCTATCGCGAACGACAAATTCCATTACGAATGATAATTGCAGGGTGTCTCAAACGAGCTGGTACTCGTTGACGTAATGGCGGACAAGCTCAAGGGTGAAATGTTAGATCTGCAGCACGGCACCGCGTTTGTGAAGAATCCGAAGATTGATGCTAGTACAGATTACGCCGCGACAGCGAACTCGAGTGTCTGCGTCGTGACCGCCGGCGCTCGTCAGAGAGAAGGTGAAACGAGGCTGGACCTCGTTCAACGAAACACAGACATCTTCAAAGGCATCATACCTCAGTTGGTCAAATATAGCCCGGACGCTGTACTTCTGATCGTCTCGAACCCGGTTGACATTCTCACGTACGTTGCGTGGAAGCTGTCCGGCCTACCGAAAAATCGAGTGATTGGTAGCGGTACCAATTTGGACTCGGCCAGATTCCGTTTCCTGTTATCGCAGAAACTCAACGTAGCATCTACATCCTGTCACGGATGGATTATCGGCGAGCACGGTGACACGAGTGGTAAGTTACCTAAGATATTTTTAAATCTACACACCTTTATGACACACGTTTACATGACGGACAAAAATTCATTCTTATCTGTGATAAGCCCACGTGAATCTCGTAATGTACCATTATCTGCAAATCAAATCTCAATCGCGATTTCGCACCATGTGAAACACAAGTGATTTTATTGCGATCTATATTTTATCGAATTTAGGCAATACTTCACAAATTGAAGTGATACAGAGTCATGATTAGTATTTTTATTGAATACAAAATATTTAGTATTATAATATATTTTATTATGTTACTATAAAAAAGCAATTTTAATATTCGTCATCACAAATTCTTTATTAAAATATAGCAATTAATTAAAAGCAATATCCTAGGCTTTGGTCTATACGATTTTATTTTCTATTTATTAGAAAAGAGTGCACGTTTTATTTTACGCTGATAAGCTTATCTCACTTTCAAATGAAATAAAAATTTGTTTGATTATTTGATTAACAGTACCGGTATGGTCGGGAGTGAACGTAGCGGGCGTCAGGTTGCGCGATTTGAACCCGCTCGTGGGAACGGAGAAGGATCCGGAAAAGTGGAGCGAGTTGCATAAAGAAGTCGTAAATAGTGCGTACGAGGTGATCAAACTAAAGGGATACACATCTTGGGCCATCGGGCTCAGCGTTTCAAACCTCGTTTCCGCTATATTGCGGAATTCGCATCAAGTTCACGCAGTATCTACATTGGTTACCGTAAGTTGATAAGCCTGTCCATGCCTCGTTGCACAACGAACTTTGATAGTTACACCAGAGTCTAGTTACACGTGATTGTCACGATACGATTACAAAATTATGGATAGCTGAAATTTCCAAACGATTGAAAAAATTTGTTGTGACACTGAACGTATAGGATTGATCAATTGGCTGACGAGACGTCTGATGATTTTTAGGGGTATCACAATATCAAGAAGGAGGTCTACTTATCGTTGCCCTGCACGTTGGCCGACGGAGGTGTTAACAGCGTCGTTCAACAGGTACTCACCGATAACGAGCTGAATCTTTTACACCAATCTGCCGACGCGATGGACGAAGTGCAGCAGGGCTTGAAATTTTAAACTTTAATTTATATTATAAATGGAATTGATTTTCGCGGACACGGTCGTGCGCGGTGAATCGTTTTCGGCGAGCGATTTTTGAATCTACTTACGTTTCGATACTTAGATTTACACGATACTTATAATAACTATTTATAATTGTAATTTAAATATATAATTGTTTCCTATGAACACAACTCGGTGCACATGTTATAGATGATTTTATGTAGATATATGCGTGTGTTCGTGTGACCACAAAGTATTATATGTTTTATCACGTAAGTGTTCCGTGTTCGCGATAAGTTCTATCGCATCTGGCTAATTTGATAATATGATATTATAATTCTATTTTACGTATGTACATAATAATTGTTCTTTTTTTGACACAAGACAAGATACTTAATCGAGCCAGTTGAAATTGTAAACAGAACTTGGAATTTACACTCCAGTGTTCTCGAGCTTGTCAAAAACGTCAAACGCATTTCGAGACGTTTGATGTCTACCTCATGAATTTAGCACTGACTGAATGTATTTACATATACACGCCGTCTTAACCATTTTACCATTTACTGCGTATGTTGTAAATTGTCTTGTATAAATATTTATATTTATGATTTAATAAATCTATATTAATTGAGTAAACAGTCTGAAGCAATTAATTTAGTTATAAGATTGATCGTAAACCTATTTCGTTTCATCGTAACGTTGATCAACCGTAATTGTACATGGTCCAACTCGATGATCGAGTCTCTGTAACCATGGATTGTTTAACAATTGGCAAACCGAGGCAATGGCGAAGCACAGGAATGCGTTATGATCGCCAGCGCCTTCCTTATCGCGAAACGTCAAATAACGGTATGTGATGTGACATTTTCCGTAGCAAAAGGGATCGACGAAAATTAGCTAAATCATCGGGTGACGAGAAGCAATGGTTTTGTCGCGCATGCTGTCGATTTCGTCACGGCCGACATGTCTGAGATTTACAATACAGCAGCTGATATTGAGAAGAAGCTTGGCCACCAGACACAACCGTCTCACATTACCGCCAACAATACTTAAGGAACATTTTGGAGGAAGTAAAACTAAAAGATTAGCGTCCGCTGACTTCGGTAAAGACGCCACCGCTGGATCCGATTTACAGAGAGCGGTCAGTTTCGTGTAAGCGGCCTGTTTTCTGTATTCCGTACACCGAACCTATCATCCTTCTCTATTGACCATCTCGGCTAGACTAAGTCGCGTCATCTGAGTCATTTCTGTATGTCGAATCAATTATGCAAGAAATATGTTTGCGCAAGAATCACTTCACTGTCGTTAAATCTTTTCGACAAGTATACCTTGCTTTCTCATCCATTTCTTTAAATACGTATCTTCACTCAAATGGAGTAAAGATTATTGAATCCAATCTGCCGATTTAAATTCTTTTTTCATGTTTTATTTTAATTCAATTGCGTTTTTAAATTCTTTTATTTTAATCCATTCTTTGTAATCACTCCGATTTGAGGATCATGCATATTTTATTTTTGTACTCTTCCAATTATTTCACTACGAAATGTAAATAAGTGCAAAATCGATAAGTCTGTACATAGAAGAATCTCTTAGTTGTACATGTGACATTATCTCATCTGATCACAGACGTAAAATCTTTTTCAAATGATGACATCAATTTTCTCTGTTAACAATTACATCTTTGAATTATTCTCAGAAGTAATTTGCGTATTTTTCGGAATAGCATGTGGAATGTGGCTATAGTATATTTTTCGAGGAAGAAATATTGCAGACAAAGTGCTGCTGTTTCAAAATTAATTCTCCACAAATATTTCTTCTTTATAAAAGATTTCGTATTTATTTTAAATCTCTCATTGAATTCATCGTTGCGTAAAAATTGGAGATCGTTGTCGATCTTTCAGATAACGTGGAAGTGGCGGGGGAATTTTTGTTATGAGCCCATCAGCTGTACCCGTGAACATCAGAAGAAAGCGGTCCGGTGGTTTCAGTAAAACGACATTTTCTTATTCCAGACAACCATGTCTAAAAGAAGAGTTACTCTGCAAATATTCGGAACCAGTGCGCGATTGCTGTCATAAGGTGACGGTCGTTGGTAGCGGCATGGCCGGCGTAGCTTGCGTGCATTCGCTACTTTTTCAGGTATTCAGGATTAAAAAGATTCAAACCAAATATTTACGTACAATTAGATTAAATAATCATAGTGATAACAAGTGGTAATTACTTGAAGAATTTAATTTTCCAAAATGCTTATTTAGCTTTTATTAATAATTACAACAGGATTTCGTTTTTATGTACCTATCAAGATCTATTAATAAGTCTGACCATTAACTATGATTTAATTAATATAAATTTTAATTCATATAAATGAATTCCATTTTCAAATAATTTCACGATTGGAAATAGTACAGATACATAATGAGAATTTAATTAACAAAGCATTACCAAAATTAACATACATTACAATCGGCGGTTTCATTGTGTGATATAATTCAGTAATTGTTATAAAATAAAAGTCTCTATGGTCTGGATAAAAAGTGGAACCGAAAGGAATTAAATGACGAGATACACGCGACGAATATTCGAGACGAGCGTGTCCGGTTTATTTTAAATGCACGGGTGAAAGTTTACACGCATGTAACGCGTGGAAAGCCGAATCTGGTGCGAGAGCGTTTCATGAAAATGCTAGAAGTCCTGGAAAACGTCCTCGCTTCACATTGGCGCCGGTTATCCTCGAAAAGTGGGAGAACCATTGCGCGTATTGCTGAACACGAGAACACGCGTAATTATTTCATTGCCTTATTCGCAGCAAATTACTTCGCACGTCGCGCTGGTAGATGCATTTCCGAAGAAGCTCGAAGGAGAGGGAATGGATTTGGTACACGGTTCGATATTTTTAGACGACCCGCGCGTAGAATTCGACACAGGTCAGCAGGATTATTTTTAGCAATAAATAAGTTGGATAACTTTCATGAAACTCGTAAGAAGCGTAATTAATTATCAGGTTGACTAGAGTATAAATGTAATGCTTAGGATTAATTATTTAACATTCCGAAGGTGTCGAAAAACAGCTTTTGAAATTATTATCATTAGTTT